TAAGCAAACCGAACTCGCACGTGGATCACTCATATACAACGGAGAGGAAAATTTTAATAAAGCAATATCATTCACATAGACACTCGAATTATATCTCGGATGTACAAGAATTTTTGATACAGTTCGAGTTTGAGTGCCAGACCATAGAAGAGTCGATCCTGCATAGATAATAAATTGAGATGCTTTGAAATTTTCTACACAATGTGCTGCTGTGATAATCCATGAGCTCGATAAAATTGATCCACCACATAGAAAAGTCTCATTAATAGAGATTGAAACAGCCCATCCCCAACTTGCCTCGCTAGCATTTTCTCCACCTACAATACGAGTTATTGATACTGGATTCAATGAACATCCACACACAGCTTTGGAATTACATGCATAGACAACTTGATAACTTGGTTGAATGAGATAAAGTAATATTATTATTGAAAATAACATCTCAAAAGTATTTATCTCTATTTTACTGTTTCACTTGATTCAGTGTCTGAAAAGAGCAAATGACAGTCATATTTAAATGCAGAAGTTATATAGAAGACCATTATAAATTTTTCGTTCTGCTTTATAGTTATTTCTTTTTCGCATGAATCAAAGTTTGATATGATTCTGTGTAAGGACCAATTAATATATTTTAATAATTTTAACAACAATATTATCATATATAATTGACACTCATTGAACTCTTGTTCTAGTTTGTAATAATCAATCAACTGATTCATGATAAAATCTTAATAAATTATTATTATTGAATTCTAAAATTAGTTCATATTTTCCTTTTATGAATACAATCATTTACTGACGAAAATTTATTTTATGATATAGATGTATTCTAGATGTTAATATGGTCGCACTTTACAACAAATACGTGACAAGTGAAATATTATATATAAATACACTATAAATAATTGTTTTTTCTCTTGTTAATTTTCGAATGTAACACACATTAGCGAAATAAAAATATTGAATAGAAAGTATAACAAGCCTATGCTTATGTATGTTTTTTGAATGTTGTTTTTTTTTGGATAAATATTTTTTCCATTTCTCCATGTAAAACAATATTTGAAGTTTATGAAAAAAACGAATCTGTAATCGTTTTGTAGTAAACGTGTAGTTTTTGGAAAAGAAAAACTGCAATTATTAACTGTTGCACATCATTAATAAAATCTAATCAAATGGTCTTAACAAGTAAATAATAACTAGCTTAGAATTCTGTCAAACGGATCGTTTGATGTTTCTCCAATTTCAGAAAATATCATCATAATCTTACAAAATTTAATCATATGTGTATTATATGAACAATTATTATGATTGATTCTACTAGAAAAATAAACTATTATATGAATGCATAATTTGTGAACTAAGCAAAGTTTATAAAACATATAAGAGAAACTATTGAAACTGAATGTAATATTTTTTCCATACTATATCAATCATAGTATTGGTCAGCTATATTGTATAAATCATCTAGATTTTTCATACATCATTGTGAACCCAAATAAAGTACGTGTAATTTGTTGACATGACGAAATGATAGATTCATAAGAAAACAATCTGCATTTTGAATCTGTGAGAAAAACATCAAATAAAATCACTATATTTTTAGTTTACACTCTCGATCGAATGATTGCAGAAAAGATCAAAAAGTTACGTTAAGAAAAATACCCGGAACCTACTTGGAATTTTTCTTGTCTTAATATGAAAGCATAGATTTTCTGTAAATACATCGTCTAAGTTTTGTATTAGAATACTCAATTATTGTTATTAGAAAAGTTTCAAATATTCTGCACCCGATCATATATAGTAGTTACAATTCAATATTCGAGTGATAACTTCATGTTTTCAATTAAAGTTGCAATCCGTTGATCAAATGAGTAGAGGCCGAATGGGCTATGCATCAAGAAATTATTCGTCAAAAATAACTAAATAGTGAGAGATACTATTTATTGTCTTATCCTTTTAATTAGTGGTGTACTAATGTTACATGTCCTGGTATAGGATAAAACAAATGAAAGTATAATTGCGTTGTTATTGGGTTTCTCTTACTATAATAGCAATGTTAGTATACATACGATGCAAGTAGACTGGCCACGTAGTTATAATGATAAACTAAATCAGTTGTATTTTAAAAATTTTATAATATCACTAGTATTCAGTTAGATGTAGAGTACCTGGCTCTAATTCTATCACCGATTTCACTCTTGTTTTTAGTAACAAGCTCACTTTGAGTCTCCAGGATAGAATCGTCGTAGCTTTATATTTTTATCGATTTTTTATCGAAAATTAATTAGCTCTTAATTAGTAGCGATTACAAAAACACTAATTTGACATGCTTACAGGTTCTTCTGCTGACTTAATTCAATTACTCCAGCTATTTTTTGGTCTAGTCTAATCACAATAGGAAATTCACAGGTAATGCTTAGATAAAAAGTTGTTTCACCAGGAGATCTATTTCGTTATGATAAAAAAAGTATTCCATTTGATTCCTCAGCTCAAAACATATGTTCTTGTATAACTTTTAACAGTCTTAATTCACACCTTCACTCATTTTAGTGCGTTACTTGTGTGACCAAATAAAAGAGCTCGGCTTCATTTGATTACGGCAACTATTTAGTTATCCTAATTCGGCCAGATAATGAAAAATGCATTGCATTTCGATGAAAATACCAAGAAAAGATGTCCGTGCTGCTGGAAGTACAAAATTCAGACTTGATGTTGGAAACAAAAGTGTACTAATGGTGAAGAATTATCTGTATATAAGATAAGCAGTTATATGAACGACTGATAAACGTGTTTTTTGTATAAAAGAAGATAAAGCATTATTTTCATTAATTTATTAGTTCAATTTATGCAAAAATATAAATATACAAATCGTGAAATTTATAAAGAGATGTATATTAAGCTTTCATTTTCAATTAAGCAATATAAAATGTAATTTTGCATACTAAAGCGAGTATGCATCGAAGTTCTAATCAGTAACAATAGATGGCTGCTCGAGTAGTGAACTTACCTTACCGGCCAAGAGACACAACGTTTCACTAGCCGCTACATATATTCGATATCATATAATTCAAGTTACAAGTGCTGACGATACAAGAAACAGCTTTCAAACGAACGCTGAATGGTTTAACGCTAAAGGAGATGGACTACACGAAGATCTGAGTCAGCGTGCATAAGTGGAACAAGATTTGACTGTCTGATTTGTGCTACTATCCCCGCTTGCCATATCAATTGACTATTAAAAAAATCAAAAACTCAATTTCGAGATATAGATAGAGAGAATTTCATCGCTTCACGAGTCCAATTCTTTCGAATAAACTTATATGGAATAATAAAAGAAACACGTTCGCATTTTGCGGTAGATCAAGTTCAAGATGCACAAGTCTTTATGCCAACAGTCAATTAAGCATAAGCCAGGATTACTATGATCATTGTTTTTCTACTGGTTTACTGTAGGTATCGGACAAACACTCGAGAAAAGCAATTACAATGTAAATTTCAATATCACAACTGTACATACCTGAATAGTGTGATTATTATTATTCTTTGAAATTTTCCATAGAAACCAATCTTACACATAAAATATAATACTTTCGAGAAGATGAACATTTCTCCTATTAATTACTTGTGTTAACTGGTCAATTTTACAAATATTCAATGCCTCATCGAAGAAAATTTTCTTTCAATGAAATCTTAATGATATTTTACAAATTATATTTGTTAATCTCATTAATAGTTATATTTACTTGAAATGATAAATTTTAAACGATTTATTCATTTGTTTCATTTTCGTTTCGTCCTTTGTTTTGCTAGTATAACGTATTTCATAACTATCTTGTGTGTCAATAACGATATGAAAATTTAAATTATTGTCGAGATGTAAGATTTACTCGTACTGAATATAATCAAAAATTTTTCTTCTATGTAATTGTTTGTATATTTAGCTATGTACACCGAACTAACCAATCTTGAAATATATGATCAAAGTATGAATGATATTGCTATTGAAATGTCTACATTATTACCTTAATTTTATATATAATTATTTTCCTTGATCAATAATTATTATTGGTAATGAAATACGCATGATGATATTCATTTAATAGAATATAACGTAAGTTTTTCATCAAAAATAGAACATTCATTCTTGTTATTGAAAAGACTTCAATAAGAATGACTTAACATATAATTTCTTTTATTTTACTTTACTATATCGTTTAATGTAAGGAATAAGAAAGAATATATGTGTAGTAGAGAAGGAGTGATTTCTATGATGTTTTCAAATCAGATCTAATCGCAGAAGATAACAAATATTAAGATGTAACTGAATGAGATATCCGTTATTGGATTTGTTCGTTTATGAAAAGCAATCATAGTTGTATGTACGATAAATATTATACTAATTAGTTCATATGCGACATTCTTCGCATTTACATCAAAATGTTTCTTTTGTATCTTTCTAATTCCATAAGAACATAATTCTAATGCAATAAAACATGTCTACGGAAAAAAAATACACAGTATTGAACAACATAAAAGAAATGAATACATGTAAATGATTTGCAATATACTACACCGAGATCTTTCATTATCTGCCACATACGAAATTTTTGTTAAAGACTGCTGCATCACATTCTTTACTCGTTCTATTTCTACTAAAATAATGTGCTAAAAGGACAATACAACAGTTGTTCTTTGTTTCATATGATTGTTAAATGATGAATGTAGAACTATGATGAAGTTTATTGTTCATGGTAAGAAATTAGTCGAAAACATTGGAGGAGAGTAAACAAAAATTAATGTTGAAATAATTTTCAAGTTCAACAACTTGTAATTAGAATGAGACAAAGATGAAGCATATGATAGGAAGTGTTACAGTTTTGTGCACTAGAAAGGTATCACGAGAAAAGCGATTAAAGCAACAGTAAAAACATTGAGAGCTGACGCCGCAATTGTGCTCGCATGTAAATGAATTTGAAATTCTGAACTTTCCGTAGTGGTTGCCTGAACGGGGTTACGTGAAGTAGTAGACATGAATGAGGATAAATTGGAAGTGAAGTCATTTGTATTCGAGTTTATCCAATTTTCATAAGCAGCTACTCGAGTATACATTCCCGCATATTCAGCTCGTGCACAACCAATACCACTACTCGTCAGACCGACCAATACCCATTGATTGCTTGCATTAAACATCATCAATGGACCACCTGAATCACCTTGACAAGTATCTACAAGAAAATGAAAATAAAAGGCACATGCATCAAGAGAGAGAGAGACAATCAAATAAAGCTACCTTTGCTACCACCTGGTACACTAGCACAAAATTGTACATGCCAATCANAATTCACTCTAGAACTCGACTTGACAATCAGCATCAAGAAAACATGCATCATGCCGCTCAAATAGCTCAATGAAGACGTAACATGAAGAATTTTAAAAGGGTA